AAGAGAAGAAGGTTAAGGAGCTAGAAGAGAGGATGAATCTTCCTCAACCTCAAGACTTCTTCAATTTATTACATGTATCTTCTTCCCAACTTTATGGAGTATTCCTCTAAGGTACTAGGGGTTCTAAACCCCAAACCCTAGTTTTAGGATTTACTGTGTATGTATGGATATTTTAGGGATTGAATGAATGAATGCGTTTATCTAGTTGATTCTATTGTTATTCTATCTTATGCTTTTATGTTACCTGACCTCCGGCAGCGGTAGCACTGTCGTGCGAAGGTGTCTGCATCCTTGAAGAGTGAGGGCCAGTAGAAGCCCGACTGTAGCACCTTCTGTGCCGTGTGGTTTCCTACAATGTGACCGCCAGTAGGTCCTTCGTGGCATTGAGATAGGATGCCTCTCATTCGTGCTCCATAACGCAGCGCCGGATCACGCCATCTGCTCCGATCCTAAAGAGGTAAGGATCCTCATAGAAATAATGCTTTAGGTTGGAGAAGAACTTGCGCTTTGCATGAGTGGCCATCCCCTTAAGCAATTGTTTGCCCACCAGATAATTGGCAAAGTCAGAATACCAAGGGGCAATGCTCTCTACCAAGGTCATCGCCAGCAATCGCTCACCCGCGAAGGAGTCATTGATCTGTTCCATGAAGTTGACCACCAGAGGGGCTTCCAACCGTGAAAGATGATCTGGAGAAACATTTTTGGCTCCCTTCTTGTTCTGGATCTCGATATCAAATTCCTGCAGAAGTAGGATCTAGCGGATGAGCCTAGGCTTTGCATCAGCCTTGCTTATCAGATAGTGAATCATAGAGTGGTATGTGTAGACCACCACATGGGAGAGCACCAGATAGGGTCGGAACTTGTCAAATGCGTACACCACGACAAGTAGCTCTTTCTCAGTGGTGGTGTAGTTCTCCTATGCATCGTTCAAGGTCTTCAACGCGTAGTAGATGGGCTGGAAGTGCTTCTCGCGTCTCTGACCTAGAAAAGCTCTGACTGCATAGTCACTCGCATCGCATATTAGCTCAAAGGGGAGAGACCAGTCAGCAGTCACCATGATGGGTGCATGGGTAAGCTTCTCCTTCAATGTCTCGAATATAGTTCTGCACTCAGGAGTGAAATGGAATGGTGCATCCTTCTCCAGCAGCTTGGTCAGAGGCAGGGTAATCTTCGAGAAGTCCTTGATGAAGCGCTGGTAGAAGCCTGCATGACCCAAAAAGCTGTGGATCCCCTTCATAGAAATGGGGGGAGGTAGCTTACTAATTGTCTCTATCTTCGCGCGATCAACCTCAATCCCCTGCTTGGAGATCTTGTGCCCGAGCACAATCCCCTAACGAACCATAAAATGGCACTTCTCCCAGTTGAGTGCCATATTCGTCTACTCGCACCTCTTCATGACAAGTTCCAGGTTATGGAGACAATGAGTGAAGGAGTCTCTGTAAACCGAGAAGTCGTCCATGAAGACTTCTATGATCTCTCCAACTCGTCGGTCGAAGGTACATCTCTGGAAGGTCGCTGGTGCATTACATAACCCGAATGGAATCCTCCGGTAAGCAAAAGTACCGAAGAGGCAGGTGAATGTGGTCTTCGCCTGATCCTCCGGCGCGATGGGAATCTAGAAGTAGCCAGACATGATATCCAGGAAGTAGTAGAACTCATGGCCAGCCAACCTCTCCAGCATCTGATCAATGAAAGGTAGGGGAAAATGGTCCTTCTTGGTGGCGTCGTTCAGGCGCCGGTAATCGTGCAGACTCTCTAGCCAGTCACGGTTTGCATTGGGATCAACTCGTTCTTCTCATTAGGGACCACAGTCATCCCGCCTTCATTCGAGACCACCTGAGTGGGACTGACCCACTTGCTATTAGATATAGCAAAAATGATCCCTGCATCCATCAACTTCACAATCTTTGCCCAGACCACTACCTCCAAGTTAAGAGTCAATCTCCGTTGTGGCTGCCTGACTACTTAACCTCATCCTCCATCAGAATTCTGTGGGAGTAGAAGGATGGGCTAATGCCCCTAATGTCAGTTATCTTCCATGCCATGGCCCGGGCATACTTCTTCAGCAGAGCCACCAGTTTGCTCTTCTACTCGGGTGTAAGATCCGAGCTAATAATGATCGGGAGCTTATTCCCCTCCCGGAGAAATGCATACTCCAGGTGATAGGGGATGGGCTTAAGCTCCAACTCTGGTGGCTCCTCCAATGATGTGGCGATCCGGGGGAGCATAGATCGGCTTGAATGGCTTCTCTCGCCCCTCGATCACAGCTTCTTCTAGCTCCGCGAGCTGCTCCTCCAACTGCAACTCCTACAATGCCTGTTCCCCTAGCAAAAGACAACGGTCGAGGAAATCGTCAGTACCCGCACTCGTGATGGAAAGTGCGGTCTCAAAATCAGCAATAACATCGCAGTAATCTAGATCATCATGGAGCTTGGGTTGTTTCATATTGTCAGAAACAGAAAAGGTGATTTTTTCACCCCCAACCCTCAAAATTAACTTCCCATCATTCACATCAATAAACGCCTTGGTGGTGGTGAGAAAAGGTCTACCTGATGTGACCAAAGTACGCAGCTTCAACTCCTTTTTTTATAGTTTTCTGGTGTAGCCTTTCTTGAACTCGAAAATAAAATGATAGGATGGAATCAATCGGACAATTCCTAACTCGTTGACATGCTAAAACACAACACCAAACTGCGACCAAGTGTAATCGCAGTCCGGAAATGCAGTAACAGGCAAGCTCTAATTGTCATCCCGGGGTCTAAATATACTGCCTACTCCGTGTATATCTGTTACCTAGCAAACTAAGTTGAGTGATTGTGATTTTAACTAAAAGCAGTAAGAAAGCAGGAAATGGTTCAATTTTCTAAAGCAAAGGAAGAGTCACTCGGGAAAGAGTCCCCCTAGCTCCTTAGTTAGGTCACAGTTGTAATTACTTTTGGTTGCTTTACTGCTGATTATACTGCGGAAGATCCGACAGTAGCTTGGAATCTCTTAAGCTGTCCAAGCCCTGTCAGTCAAACTATCCAGCAGACGACTAGTCTTTACCGGGATAGAACACTAAGGCAATGAACACAGAACTCCACTACTGGAATTAGATTCCAGTACAAAGCAGTGAATCGACTAACTCTCGTATAATCGATTCAACTCCTCCCAAAATCCTAGAGGTATTCCCTTATGATTGGAACCTCTTCTATTAGAACTTTAGTTATTTACCTTAATACGATTAGAGTAGACTGGAGATTCTATAGACTCTTAAAAAGAGACCCTTGACTCATTTTCCTTTCCTTTAAAACAAAACCTTTAAAAACTGAGACCGACATTCTAGTATTCCTTGGAAACCAAGGAACAGAGGAAGACCGGCTCTGATACCAAAATGTAACACCCTAACCCGGCCGGGTACTACTTCTACTAAAATACCCTTGACAAATAAAATACTCAAACCTTAAATTGCAGCGGGAAAAATTTTCATAAATAAAATACTGAAAACCCACTTGTAGTTCAACGCAAAGCCTTAACACGTGGGCAAATTAAACTCAAACTTTAAAATCTCAATCTAATCTCCAGTCTATACTCATAATCATAAATTGCAAATGACTAGGTAGTCTCTGCCGTTGCTGCTACTGAAAAACATAACTAGGCATCCTCCGTGACGCTTGCACTACCCTCCTCTAGCTGGCTTCCCTCGAACTTTTCCTCTCGAACTCGCTGCTCTCTAACTGCTCCTGTAGCTAGCTGCTACCGATCTGGTTCTAGCTCATTCCCTTACTAAGGCCTAGTGAGTGAGATGGGGTCAGTCTACGCCCTTACGTTTTAATACTTCTAATACTTGAGTACTTTACTTAAACACTTAACTTTGACTAGTGGAAGTTGTTTGTACTTCCAATCTTAAAATCTTAACTCTTAAACTTTGAGGGAGTTGAAGTTACTTTCCACTCTTAAAGCTCACATCTTGACTTAAATACTTGACTGACACGAGGATCCCTCACTAGCTAGTCCGGTTGCCAACTCATACGTATGAGAAGCCATCCATGCTTTCTTTAAACTTAAACTTAGTTAAGGAAGTCGTAACGATTCATCCCCCTAACATCTTAAACTTATCGTGATGGCTCTTCACCACGATTCTCAAGGGCATAACTGCTGCACATCTTAAAAGTCTCAAGAGCATAACTGCTTCTCTATCTCAAAATGTCTCAAAAGGCAACGGACTGGCGCTAGTGACTAAAAACACCTTAAACGACTTCACCTTCTTGAAGGTGAGTTACTTCTTAAAAAGAACTTCTTTCTTAACTTTAACGATAGCTAATAAATGTAAAGCTTTAAAGCAAACAACACACCTTAACTATAAACCACAGCTCAAACAAGCACATATCATCAATCATGAGAATAAACAAGCATAGCAACACTTCACAAAAATAATGAAAACTCTAATACTTTAAAAATACGTAAGGCGTCGAATTTACCCCCTTTACCCTCACCTCGAAAATATGACTATTCTTTGACTCTGAAAATTCCAAAACACCCACCTATAACATTCCCCTTGCTTCTACAATTCCGTAGGCGCAGACGGTTCCTCGTTTGGACGTCAATTCATCGAGTTATGACCAAAATAAACATTTTGTCAGTTTAAAAGTTCCAGCTACCGAAATTGCAATTTTTCCAGTCAACACAGTTGACCACGACCTCTCTGGAAAATTACACACTTAATCCTCTAACTTTTTGAATCCCCACGAATGGTACCTGTACTTGGCAGATTTTTGCTCAAACTTGGGAGGCTCGGTTCTCCCTCGTCCAACTTCGGAATTCAATTTCGTCGACACGGTGACGATCCTGGGACCGTCCTCTTTGCAGTAATACCAATCACCTAAAGAATGGTCGAAGTCATCGACGTCGTTCAGTCTCGTCGCGGCTGTTGTAAGCCTGCTTAAATTCCGTGGGCTGCTCGTGGAACTGACGCGCTTCGGCCATCATGTCCTCCATCACGCTCTCTTCCACTCCATGATTCACCAATTGGAACATAACCAACTCGGCCGCAGCGCGTCGTATCTCCTCCACCACGACTGTGCATTGGCTCTCCAAGTCCTCATGTCGATCACCGGCACGGCGAAGGGACAAGGGGATTTGCTGCGGGTGGTGCCGTATTGGGAAGCGGTCTGAGGCGATAGCCGGAAGAGCTTCGACACGGTGGTGATGCCGGAGTCGAAGAGGCCCTTCATGCCTCCCTTTGTCTCGTCGAACAATCCGGCTGCCTCTTCACTATCGGCGGTGTTGTCGAAGTAGAGAGAGCCGATGGAGGAGGCGGCCATAGTTTGACTCTTTAGGGTAATTAAAAAAAGAAAACTAAATCTTTGGAGATGGGATGTTGGGATGCCGAGTGGGGTGGCGGTTTAGGATTTTATTTTAATGAATAATAATAATAATAATATAATAATAATAATTATTATTATTTTTATCCCTAATCTGTGTAACTCTTTGTACGTAACCGTCGATCCCAAACGTTCGGTCGAACCTAAATCTAAAATACCGGGGTGTTACATTTCCTCCACCCTTTTAAAAATTTCGTCCTCGAAATTTGCTTGAAACTCATCCTCTGTCAACACCATCCTTGTACTCCCTTGCCTCAAGAATTTTATTCTTGCTATTTAAACTTCAATGGCGTGTCCTTACCTTGCCTCGTATAGTTTATTTTACTTCTGATATTATCTCTTGACCATAACAGGTATCCTCACACAGCTTTGTATCACCGTATAACTTTAAGTGACTCATTGTACTTTTTAACTACCGCGATTAGGCTCAGTTGCTTAATGAAACAAAATTCTGATTTAATCTGGTTCGTGACCCAACTCATTCAGTAGTTGGTCGTAGTATATAGGTCTAGATCGAGGTATCACATTTCCCCCTTCCTTAAGAAAAATTTCGACCTCGAAATTTGTTCGTTGTGATGACCTCAAGTCTCACTTGTGATAATCTATTTGCAGAGAATTGCACCTCCTTAACTTGTGTGACACTGAGCTATACATCCTTCCCTTCGATATGATGTGATTTTAGAAGACTGGTAGTTCAACCATTTCTCGTAGACAACTTTCCCAGCTAGCTATTAGCTCGATACAACTATGAAATTCTCCACCCATATACGGCTTCGATGTTGTGGTGATTTACTCAAAACATCTTGTGATCACCGCGGTTTCTCAAGATCCTCCCTTACAATTTCTTAAGCAACATTATTTAAAAATTCACCAGTATCTTGACCTATAATGTTCTCCTCTTCATGATTGTTGATGCACACCTTTGAAATCCATGACGTAAACGTTCATGGTGAGTGTTCGACTTGCTTCGTAATGCCCTGTTGTCTGATGCCTCTTACCCCCTTCACATTGGTCATTACTTCGAACGTGTTTAGGGCATCCGCTATCTCCATCATTTGGTACATTAGAACGTAATACCACTTCGAACCCCAAGATTACTTATGGCAGCATGATCTGCCTTTTGTTCGATCGCAAAACTCTTTTAACGTAAACCCGTCTGTGGTTGACCACATCGGTCACCTAGGTCCTTGTATCTCCTAACTTATATCTCTTACTTTCTTCCTTGATACTTCATCTTATCCTTTGATCATAAACTAAAAGGTCATCTCCTCGTTACTTCTTTCTTAATGCCGAGACCTCGTACTACTTCCTTTACTTTCTGTATGCATCAGAGGCATCCATTGCATCGCACCCCTAACTTGCATTCAAATTAGTTTTTCTTTCAAGAATCATGACATCCTCCTTGGCTTTCTTGTTCACCACTGGCCGCCTAACTAAATACTCACTTATTGTCGCTTGAATTTGCAGTTCTCGTACTATCTATTCTGCTACTCTTAGACCCTAGTTGAAAATTCCTCGTACGGTTTCCGCGACCAAGAAATTTTCTCCCAAGAGATTTCCACCTTTCACCAGGATAGGCAACCTTGGTTTCACTTTGGGGTATTCCAGCAGGTTCCCTTAACTCATATCCTTACTACTTCTTTATGCTCGACCCTTCTTCCTAAGGTCCTTGCTAGATCTAGTTATCCCTTGTTCTCGATGTAGTCCCGTAGGTTCCTATTTTTCACTTCTCACTCATGTACCTTGACCGATAAGGTTCTCCCTTTGACTATCTTTGACGACCACGATTCCACCTTAACAATTGACTGAAATTTCTCGATTGACTTCCTATGGATCAACTTTTTTTTTCTCTCTACTAGTAATCAACCTAATGCTTTCTTGTTGTTTGTTATATTCCTGCTTCGGTCCGTCCTAGCTATCTTCCTTGACGCATACATCGCCCGGCCGACGACAACCATTTTGTTTCTGTAACGTCCAATGGTGTTCTCCTCGCTTCTTTACTTTTACTACTCTTCCGTTGTTGCTTTGTACTATATTTGGTCACCAAAATCCGTTGAATATCTTCTCGTTATTGTTTGGTTCAAAGCTTCCGATAGAGGATTTCCCTGAGTAGGCTTTAACATACCTCATTCACTTCATTTGTCTCGATTGATGCCTGCATATGGCCTTAATCTCATAGTCTGGGTTCTTAGTGGCTTAACTAAACATGTCTTACTTCCTTTTGGAAGACATCCTACTATGCCGCTCCCACTCAGAGTGGGGCACCCTAGGTAAGGTAACTTAATGATTTTCTCCTTCTTGGTAATGCTTTTCCTCGTCGTACTCCACTATGCAGTTTCTTGAATTCGAGTCACTTGTCTATACTCGGTTGGATTAATGACTTACTCCTATAGCTAGTTTCGAGACTTCAGCTCTTAGCCCCTTATTTCCAACTTACTATAGAGGTTCCTCCTTCTGTCACCTCTCATGTACCCTAGATTGCTAGGTGCTCCCTCCTTTTAGGATAGGACAACCACACAAAAGATCACACGAACTCTTGCATTCCCCTTTCAATGGTTCCAACTACATCCTGACCTTTCGTGATCTGGGTAGTTTGTAGGGTCTCTCATATCCCAATCCATCCTCTTTCTAGATCGGCGTTGTTCACAAGAATTATTATTCTTGATCCAAGCTCGTCCTCTACCTCGATTAACTTGATGCTTGTCTTTTTCCTTTTTAAAGGCTCGCTATCAGCCTAACTCCCCAAGGTCATGTACCCTCTTTTCTAGTGACGTAGTTTATCTACAAGGGTTCCTTTATCGTCATTATGTAAATGGCCCTGACTCATCTCCTCCTTGACCCTTTTGACTTCTTGACGTCCTTTCATACTCCCCGTAACCTACTTATTTCCTCCTTTACTTAATTTATACTACCCTTGCTTTTCTTTAAGTCTAAGCTTTTCACTGCTCCTTGTCACTATGTTGTAATAGCGTCAAGCCATCGACAACTAAAGCTAGTTGAGAGACTTCTTGTGGTACCTCTTTTTTTCTTGACTTGTTGCCTCCTCGCCACTGCTTAGGGTCAAGAATCCTGAAATCCTCTAATCATTATATCCACAACCATCTAGTGATTGTAAATCTTTCTTCGGAGATTCATAGTTCTCCTATTTGTTTGCTTTTGCTTATTAGATCCTCTCCTTGCTGCCTAGTAGTAGAATCCTCGTACTACCCCTTCAACTCCTCTCAAAATCCTAGAGGTATTCCCTTACAATTGGAACATCTTCTATTAGAACTTTAGTTATTTACCTTAATACGATTAGAGTAGACTGGAGATTCTATAGACTCTTAAAAGGAGACCCTTGACTCTTTTTCCTTTCCTTTAAAACAAAACCTTTAAAAATTAAGATCGACATTCCAGTATTCCTTGGAAACCAAGGAACAGAGGAAGACCGGCTCTGATACCAAGATATAACACCCTAACCCGACCGGGTACTACTTCTACTAAAATACCCTTGACAAATAAAATACTCAAACCTTAAATTGCAGCGGGAAAAATTTTCATAAATAAAATACTGAAAACCCACTTGTAGTTCAACGCAAAGCCTTAACACGTGGGCAAATTAACCTCAAACTTTCAAATCTCAATCTAATCTCCAGTCTATACTCATAATCATAAATTTCAAATGACTAGGTAGTCTCTGTCGTTGCTGCTACTGAAAAACTTAACTAGGCATCCTCCGTGATGCTTGCACTACCCTCCTCTAGCTTGCTGCCCTCGAACTTTTCCTCTCGAACTCGCTGCTCTCTAACTGCTCCTGTAGCTAGCTGCTACCGATCTGGTTCTAGCTCATTCCCTTACTAAGGCCTGGTGAGTGAGATGGGGTCAGTCTACGCCCTTACGTTTTAATACTTCTAATACTTGAGTACTTTACTTAAACACTTAACTTTGACTAGTGGAAGTTGTTTGTACTTCCAATCTTAAAATCTCAACTCTTAAACTTTGAGGGAGTTGAAGTTACTCTCCTCTCTTAAAGCTCAAATCTTGACTTAAATACTTGACTGACACGGGGATCCCTCACTAGCTAGTCTGGTTGCCAACTCATACGTATGAGAAGCCACCTAGGCTTTCCCTAAACTTAAACTTAGTTAGGGAAGTCGTAACGATTCATCCCCCTAACATCTTAAACTTATCGTGATGGCTCTTCACCACGATTCTCAAGGGCATAACTGCTGCCCATCTTAAAAGTCTCAAGAGCATAACTGCTGCTCTATCTCAAAATGTCTCAAAAGGCAACGGACTGGCGCTAGTGACTAAAAACACTTAAAACGACTTCACCTTCTTGAAGGTGAGTTAATTCTTAAAAAGAACTTTTTTCTTAACTTTAACGATAACTAATAAACATAAAGATTTAAAGCAAACAACACACCTTTACTATAAACCACAGCTCAAACAAGCACATATCATCAATCATGAGAATAAACAAGCATAGCAACACTTCACAAAAATAATGAAAACTCTAATACTTGAAAAATACGTAAGGCGTAGAATTTACCCCCTTTACCCTCACCTCGAAAATATGACTATGCTTTGACTCTGAAAATTCCAAAACACCCACCTATAACATTCCCCTTGCTTCTACAATTCCGTAGGCGCAGACGGTTCCTCGTTTGGACGTCAATTCATCGAGTTATGACCAAAATAAACATTTTGTCAGTTTAAAAGTTCCAGCTACCGAAATTGCAATTTATCCAGTCAACACAGTTGACCACGACCTCTCTGGAAAATTACACACTTAATCCTCTAACTTTTTGAATCCCCACGAATGGTACCTGTACTTGGCAGATTTTTGCTCAAACTTGGGAGGCTCGGTTCTCCCTCGTCCGACGTCGGAATTCAATTTCGTCAACACGGTGACGATCCTGGGACCGTCCTCTTTGCAGTAATACCAATCACCTAAAGAATGGTCGAATTCATCGACGTCGTTCAGTCTCGTCGCGGCTGTTGTAAGCCTGCTTAAATTCCGTGGGCTGCTCGTGGAACTGACGCGCTTCGGCCATCATGTCCTCCATCACGCTCTCTTCCACTCCATGATTCACCAATTGGAACATAACCAACTCGGCCGCAGTGCGTCGGATCTCCTCCACCACGACTGTGCATTGGCTCTCCAAGTCCTTCATGTCGATCACCGGCACGGCGAAGGGACAAGGGGATTTGCTGCGGGTGGTGCCGTATTGGGAAGCGGTCTGAGGCGACAGCCGGAAGAGCTTCGGCACGGTGGTGATGCCGGAGTCGACGACGCCCTTGACGCCGCCCTTTGTCTCGTCAAACAATCCGGCTGCCTCTTCACTGTCGGCGGTGTTGTCAAAGTAGAGAGAGTCGATGGAGGAGGCGGCCATAGTTTGACTCTTTAGGGTAATTAAAAAAAAAGAAAACTAAATCTCTGGAGATGGGATGCCGAGTGGGGTGGGGGTTTAGGATTTTATTTTAATGAATAATAATATAATAATAATAATAATAATAATAATTATTATTATTATTATTATTATCCCTAATCTGTGGTTGTAACTCTTTGTACGTAACCGTCGATCCCAAACGTTCGGTCGAACCTAAATCTAAAATACCGGGGTGTTACATTTCCTCCACCCTTATAAAAATTTCGTCCTTGAAATTTGCTCGAAACTCATCCTCTGTCAACACAATCCTTGTACGCCCTTGCCTCAAGAATTTTATTCTTGCTATTTAAACTTCAATGGCGTGTCCTTACCTTGCCTCGTATAGTTGATTTTACTTCTTATATTTTCTCTTGACCATAACAGGTATCCTCACACAGCTTTGTAGCACTATATAACTTTAAGTGACTAATTGTACTTTTTAACTCCCGCGATCAGGCTTAGTTGCTTAATGAAACAAAATTCTGATTCAATCTGGTTCGTGACCCAACTCTTTCAGTAGTTGGTCGTAGTATATAGGTCCAGATCGAAGTATCACAAGGATTCTCCCTTCTGTTCATAAACCAACATATACTTGACTCAACCACTTACTCAAGACAGTCACCTCATGCACAAAACTCAAGATATCAGAATTGAGACCGAGCAGTCTAGGTCCTCACCGGGGTAAAGAGTATAGATAATATGAGAAAATGAATCGCTCACTCTCGACTAGTGGGGTCAGGACAATTTTTTTGATGCAAGATGTGCATACTCATACTCTCAATCCTAACGTCTAAACACCATGAAGGCAGCCTCTAAATGCTAGAGTTCACATATGGGGTGTCACCACTAACTAATCTGGAGGTCTTAGACACACGTTCAGATGACTGGCTAGGGTCTTGGACATGGGGGAAAAGGCCTTTTAGGTGGTGGAAGTATTCATAGCACAAGGTTCCACATTTCCAAACTCATCACAATCACAATCAATCAAACCACTTACTTTCTTCCTGCCATTCTGCATTACTCAAATTCTTTAGAGCACAAGAGCGAAGGAGGTCACAATAATGTTAGTATTTCCAAGCCAGACTACTAAGAAACACTACTTAATGTTAGCTCTCTTTTGCTTTCATTCATTTTTTTTTCTTTTCCTTCTTGAGAGAACCACCACCTATGCACATTTTTTAAACACATGCCCAACTTTTTAAGAACTACCTCCAACCCTCACATTATATTTAGCAGAAACAGCAAAGAACATGTAAAAACCACTTTGTGGAACCTTCTATGAGATGCAAAGGGGTGATTTTTCATTGTAGACCGAAAGAAAGGATAACACACGGCTCAAAAGGGTTAACTAGGGGGTATGACACATCAGGACAGTCAGTTTGGTCGTGGGCTAATCCTATGCCTCCATCATCTTAGCTAATGACAAGGTGAATGCTACACATCATGGAAGAGGGATCTATCGCACAAGAAAGAAACGAGTAGGCTCAAATCTCACATGGCTACCTATATGCTCTATCTCTCATTCTGATTCCCTAAACTAGATGCATAAACGACTGTCAAGAACAAGTGATCAATCCAAGTCAGTTGGTAAGCAAACAGTTGAAAAACTGAACCCCTACACAATTCTACTGCACGTCTCAGTCATCGTTATAGGCTGTCCTAGTCAGAATCCAGTTTTCATGCATTAATTTGAAAGCCATTCAATTCACCAATTAACTCCACAGTGCCAATATGATCAAGCAAACAATAGTGCTTGGAGCCCTCAAATCTCAAGATTTGGACAGCGGACTAGGCTCCAAGCACACATATATACGTTCCAATGAATACAAAGACCCCCCCCCCCCCCCCACACACACATACACTTAAATGCGACAGTGTCCTCAATGGAGCAGAGGGAAGGGGAACGATGTTACTGTGAAAAAAATGGTCAGGAACGGTGACTGGAGGGCGGACCAGTCCATAGCAGAGGACTGGACAAGGACCAGTCAAACGAGTACAGAGCTAGAGTCAGCAAAACACACACACATTGGGTCAAAGAAACAATAGTTCCAAGTCTACAATCCAAACAAACAAGACAAGAGAAAAGGAAACACAATATGGAGTCTTAGTCTGGAAGGAAAGACAAATGCACAACCCAACTCGATGGGTCAGCAGGCAGAGCCACCTTAGTTCTCATCGCCTCCGTCGCCAGTTGGAGGCGGGTAGAAATCCTCATGCCTCGGGGAAGCCTCCCAAGCGTAGCTAATAGCAGCAGGGTCCATGTCCTGATAGCTCATCATGTAATGCTGAGCCAAAATGATGCGGCGGCGACCTTCGCGCTCACGCTCGAGTCGGGCGTTAATGTGCTCCTGGCCAGCAAGGATCTGCTCGTTCTGGCGGGAAATGGCTGCCAGCTGCTCAGCAATGTAGGAGGTGGGTGCAGCAGCAGATGGGCCGGCAGCAGAAGTGGACGCACCAGCTGCAGAAGGTGTGGTCCGACAAGCGGCAGCATCGCTCGCCTCGGGGAGATCCTCTCCCTCTGGTGCACGAGGAATAGGACGAGGAAGTCCCCGGATCCAGGTTACGTCCCCGTCGCGCTGCAGTATCAGCTGGCGCCGTATGGTTTCCCTGGAGAAGGGTGTCGGTGGCAAGATGACAGTGAACCCAGAGAGGTCGATGTTGAAGTACCGGGCCAGGGCAGTGACCACCGGCCCACAAGCCAGAGTACGACCACAGCGAGAAGCCTTGGTGACGGTCCTGGCGATGAGAGAGGCTAAATGGAGGTTGTCTTCATCTTGGCTGATGGAGTGCGGGCAGTGCAAGGTGCGGAGCTGAAGATGACTGATTGAGCCACCGCTGGGGGTGTAAGATTTCCCCAACAGCTGGTTGAGGATGCCCCACTCTGGGCGCAGCTGAGTAGCAGTGGTGTAGCCTGGTGTGAACACAGCTCCCGCGAACTTCGGGAGGCATATCCTCTCGAAGAAACTCTGGTCCCGAAAGATGGGACAGGTGGCAGGCGAATGGTGGAAGGAGCCCCAGTGCTCGGCCAAAGTCATCATAGCTGAGGGTATAAGACTCCCCGCCAAGTCGGAACTGAATGGCGTTGCCGTGAGCGCCTGCGTGGGTCTGGAAGTGCACGGAGGTGGCATAGAACTCCCAGAGGAGCTCCTAATAAATCGGCTCAGCGAGGCAGAGGAAGCGGCGCCAAGAGTAAGTGCGGATGGCAGCCTCCATTGCCTCGCGAGCACCCAGCTCCTCGAAGACCTCAAAATCGAGGTAATGGTGCTCAACGACTTTGCGGCGTCGGATTTCCCGCAGAGTCTTCTTATGGGCGGCGTCGAGCATGTTCAGGTAAGTGTTCATGGTCCTGCAGCCAAAAAGCAACAAAAACACAACAACATACATGGAAATTTGTAAATGGTGAGTACATAATCATCCGCACCTGGGGCCCTCGAATCATAAAATTCGGACAATGGACTAGGCCCCAAGGGAGGAAAAACATTCAGAATCATTCACCATCTACACAAGATTAAACGCACTTGGAGCCTGATAGACCGTTAATTACACATGTTTTTACCCCTGTTTTTACACCGTTTGAGATGTGATTTCTCGTGTTTTAGGCCGATTTCACGCTAGGTTGTGCTTGTTTGTGATATTTCAGGTCCTAGTACGTGAATGAAGGCTTGGGAGCGAGTTTGGGGTCGATTGGATGAAGATCGGACGCGTGGCGAGGTACAAAGGAGGCCACACGGGCACACCCACAAATCACATGGCCGTGCAGCTCATATTTCTGGCCGTGTGTGTGTTGCCGAGAGCAAACACGGCCTGCCCTGACATTTCACACGGCCGTGTGACAAAGTGCTCTGGCCGTGTGACTTTTGCCGTGAGCAGACACGGGCAGATGGAAATCAAACACGGTTGTGCCATCCTGGCCGTGTGAGAAGCCCGAAGATCGAACTTAAGTGATACGGTGCGTTTTGACTCACACGGGCAACTGGGTATGCCACACGGCCGTGTGGCCCTGCCCGTGTGAGTCGGGATTTCCTGGTTTTAACCCAATTCCGGGCTGCAAGAGAGGGGATCGAATTCCTTGAGCAAAAACAGAGTTTTAGAGAGAGAAAGTGCGAAGAACTCACCCTAGAAGCCATCTTGGAGCTGGGTTTCATCAAATCAAGCTTGGAGATCGTCCTAGGAGTGGAAATCATCATCCCGGAGCAGATTTTCCTCATCATTATGAGTATGACTACTCCGATTACTGTTTTCTTTTCTCTCTCTATGGAGTAGAACCTCTCTCTCACTTGGGGATGAAGAACCCTAGTTCTATGTGTTAGGGGATTGATTGTAATGACTTGGGATGATATTACTGTTTGATTATAATCGAATGATGCATGTTTATTGAGTCAATTGAAGTCTGATCAACTTTTCCTGATTCCTGCTGCAATCTGAGATAGATAGAATCTGATTAGGTTGCTAGAGTCTCATCATTCGATAGTAGGAGATTGGCTATACGAGAGTTAGCCAGTTTACTGCTCTGTACTGGAATCTAATTCCAGTAGTGAATTTCTGTTCTTACTGCTTCAGCTTTCTATCCCGGTGAAGACTAGTCGTCTGCCGGGTAGTTAGACTGAGAGGGCTTGGTCAGCTTAAGAGATTCCAAGCTACTGTCGGATCTTCCGCAGTTTAATCAACAGTAAATCAACCCAGGGTAAATTGCAATTGAAACCTAACTAAAGAGCTAGGGGGATTCATTCCCGAGTGACTCTTTCCTGCTTAAGAAAACCGAATACTTTACTGCTTTATTTCTGCTTTTAGTTTAGACAACAATCACTTACTTTAGTTGGCTAGATAACAGAGAATCACTGAGTAAGCAGTAGATCTAGAGCCCGGGTTGATAATATAACTTGCCTGTTACTGCATTCCCGGTCTGCGATTACACTTGGTCGCAGATTGGTGTTGTGTTTTGGCGTGTCAGAGCCCTCGAATAATAAACCCGGACAGCAAATTAGGCTCCAAGTGGGACAATCAAGAACACATG